CTTTTTATGTGCCTCGAGTTTTTCTCTGAAAGTTTCTAAGATCAGTGTTTTTGATTCCAGGCTTCTGAAATTCTGTGCTGGCATTCTTTGGTGAGAGAATATTTCTGTTTTCTCTTCGGAAACATGTTTATCAATTGTGGAATAGGCTCTTGAATTATTTCTCCCCTCCTTCCTTCTCTTCTCTCCCTTCCTTCCCTTACCCTCCCCTCCTCCTTTCCCTCCCAGCCTTCTCCCCTCTTCCTCCCTCATTTTCCTTCCTTCCTTCCTTCCCTCCCTTCTTTCCCTTTTCCTTATACCCCTTCCTCTTTTCCCATTGCTAAACTGCCCAGGCTGGCCTCAGTCTTGGCCTCAGGTGATCCTCTCTTACCTCAGCCTCTGGAGTAGCCCGCACAGTTGCTACCTACACCACCAGGTCTACCACTTGAACCACACTTCACTTCTGGCTTCTTGGTGGTTCCTTGAAGAAAAGAGTCCCATGAATTTGTCTGTCTGGGCTGGCTTTGGGCCATGATCCTCAGATGTCAGCCCCTCCTAAGTAGCTAGGATTACAGGCGTGAGCCACTGGTACTTGGCAAATCTACAAAATGTTGAAAAGAAAACAAAGCTCCTGCCATTTCCTTTGTCCACAAAAATTTTATTTTTGTCTGGAGCCGAAGTCCAGACCTCTGAGGTGTGCAGGCAGCTAGCTGTCCGCCATCGGACTCCAGCCGTGCTCTCCAGGTCTAGTCCTGTCCTGTGGGGGGCTGGGAGGCAGAGGCCCTTCCAGACACTAGGCCTTTCACAGCGTCTCCACCCATGCACCTCCCAAGCTCAGCTCAAAGCCGGCATCGGACATGAAGCATCATTGGGGCGCCAGGGCAGCCGCGGAGACCCTTTTCCAGCTCCCCCGCCCAGCGGGCTGTCCCTCTTCTGCTCCCAGACTTCTCTGTCCAAGGATTGTGTGTTCCCCTTCTTTAATCCACCCCACACCCGCAGCCTCAGCCTGGTGCTTTGTCTGCTGCTTTGTCCTCGATCAATTTTGAATGTGTGAGTGATCGGCCTCACAGTTCTACTTCAGTATTTGTCTATTTTTATTCCTCCCTCTGCCACTTTCTTCCTTGTCACCATATTAATGACAATTTTCATCAGAAGCTCTTTAAATAATTTAGACTCTCAGAAGAATTCTAGGTGGCTTCTGTATTCAAGGGTTGCTTAGATGAAAAGCAGGTGAAGGACTTTTTTTTTTTTTGCAGGCAGCTTTATCTTGTTTCATTTCTTTACATATTGCTCTGTGTGTGTGTGTGTGTGTGAGTGCTAGTCCTGGAGCTTGAACTCAGGGTCTGGGCAGAGTTTTTTTTTGCTCAAGGCTAGCACTCTACAACTTTGAGCCTCAGTTCCACTTCCGGCTTTCTGGTGGCTAACTGGAGGTAAGAGTCTCACTGATTTTCTTGTCTCAGCTGGCTTGGAACCGTGATCCTCAGGTCTCAGCCTCCTGTGTAGCTGGGGTTATGTGTGTGAGCCACCAGTGCCTGGCATGGTCTGGTATTTTTTTTTTTTTTTTTTACTGAGAACTCCCCACCCCAGAAACCCCTGGGTGCTCAGTGTTTGTGCCCTCACTCCTCTGCACCTGCGCCCCCCCCACCCCCTCCCATCTGCCCAGGCCCTCCTCTCCTGGCTGTTTTTCTGAACTTTTTATCCTGTGGATGCAGACTGCGGGCTAGGGGAGGGTCAGGGCCTGTGTGTGGCACATGACCATGGGGATGGCCAGGTTGATTGCCTGAGATGCTAAACCATTAAAGGGGCCTTGGCAAAGACCTATGTGAATAACAGTGTGTGTGTGTGTGTGTGTGTGTGTACTCTCAGGAGTGTGCTGTTAGTCTGTGCACGTGAACACGTGTGGGTCCTGGTGAATTCACACTACACACAAGGGCCTTTCTGTGTGCCCTGGCTCAGTCTTCCCTCGGGACACCGCTTGCGTTATTTTCGTGGGGCCTTTTGGCCTCATTCTCTGTCCTTCAGTGACTGTGCCAAGCACCAATTTACCTCACTCCACCTAGGGACAAACAGTAGCTGGGGAACTCAGAAGCCATGGCCTAATTTTTGGCTCTGAGGTGCTTTGTCCCTCAGTTTCCCCACCAGGCATCTCTAAAGAAACAGTGGGTGGCCGGGCGCTGGTGGCTCACGCCTGTAATCCTAGCTACTCAGGAGGCTGAGATCTGAGGATCGCGGTTCAAAGCCAGCCCGGGCAGGAGAGACCGTGAGACTCCTATCTCCAATAAACCACCAGAAAACCGGAAGTGGCCCTGTAGCTCAAGTGGTAGAGCGCTCGCCTTGAGTTGAAGAGCTGAAGGACAGCGCCCAGGCCCAGAGTTCAAGCCCCACGACCGAAAAAAAAAAAAAAAAAAGAAACAGTGGGTGGGGGAGGAGGGAAGCCAGGACTAAGCATTGCACCCCTGTACCCTCTCCCTGTGCAAACATGGCTAGTGCTCTGCTGCCCTCTGACCCCGTGTGTTCCCACCGGTGGGAAATGAAAATAATCCCAGCATCTAATTCGGAGGTGCAGTGACTGCAAGACAGTCTGGCATACAGTGAAAGCTCATTCAGTGCTAATGATTACTATTAAAAAATAGTAGAAGCCAGGCGTGGTGGTGCACACCTAAAATTCCAGCTTGGGAAGGTGAGGCTAAGGTGGGGTGACAAGTTTGAGACCAGCTTGGGCTACAAAGTGTGCCTCACACTCAAATACGTCAACACAAAACAAACCCCAGACTCCCTTCATTGTCTGCTCTCTCTGGTCTGGCTACTCCCACTCTCCTCCTCTTCCCTCCCTCGGGTCTTCTCTATTTTCTACTCTAGTGCTTCCTGGTCACAAGCTGCGACTGGGAAGGGCCAAATGGCACATGGAGCTCTTTGCATCCTAGGCTGGGCGCAGACTCCGCACAGGTCCCCCTCAGTCCAGCTGTTGTCCACAGGAGCAGGTCTGCTTTGTCCGAAGCGCCCTCTGCTGGCCACTAGCTGATGGTCTTAGGCAAGGGTGGCGTTAATGACAGAACTGGGGACGACTTCCAGGTCCTTCTGAATCAGAGGCCTGTGTGTGTGTGTGTGTGTGTCGGCCCCACACAGCACCCAGGAAGGTAACAGTGCTCCAATGACTTGACAATCTCAACCCACCCAGGCAGTGGTCCACAGCAGCCTCTGGGCCTTACACTGCAAGCCTCTCTCCTCTCCTTGCCTGAGACAGACCCCAACCCCCCTACCCCCCAACAAAAACCCTGACTGGACATTTGGGCATAGTCCCATGGGAAAAAGATTCTAGTTTCTGGTTTTGTCAGTCCTGGGGCTTCCACTCTGGGCCTGGGTGCTATCGCTAGCACTCTACTACTTGACTCACTTCGTTTTCTGGTGGCTCATTGGAGGTAAGAGTCATGGACTGGGGCTGGGAAGGTGGCTCAGTGGTAGAGCACCTGCCTTGCATGCCTGAGGCCCTGGGTTCGATTCCTCAGCACCACATAAGCAAAAAGAAAAAAGCCGGAAGTGGCGCTGTGGCAGAGCTCTCGCCTAGAGCTGAAGAGCTGAGGGACAGCGCCCAGGCCCAGAAAAAAAAAAAAGTCTTTGAACCAAGATCCTCAGAGCTCAGCCTCCTGAGTAGCTGGGATGACAGGCGTGAGCCACTGGCGCCCGGCTCAAAAGATTCCAGTTTTCCAGCTCTTTGCAGGACTTCAGCTGAAGCAGGAGAAATGGAAGCTGGGCAGCTGGGAGCTCAGGCCTGAGAGCAGGGGTGTGTCTGTTTTGTCCCTTTAAGAGTCTGCTGCACTGGAGGGTTGGGGATTTAGCTAGTGGCCAAGTGCAAGGCCTCAGCTCTGCAGCCAAACAAAGTCTGGATTGGGAAGTCATAGTAGAGACAGTGGGGGAGCTGGGCGCCTAAGCCAAGGCCTCTGAATTCTCAGGGCTTGAGGGGCGAGCAGAGCCATGGGTGATGGTTTCATAGCATTGCACAAAGAGCTTGTTCCGGTGCACAGGGGGTGTGGTCTCACAAGAGGGGTGCGGGGGGGCACAGATTTCTCTAATGTCCAGGGCAAGCTAATGGGACCCCCCAAGAGGGGGAGTCCCAACATCATTTGGGGTATGAGGATGAGACAGGCCTTGTGCAAGTATGCCAAGGACTAGGGCGGGAGAGCAGGGAGGCTGGGGAGGGAGCTGTGGGGACCCGGATGGTGGAAAAGGAGACAGCAGATAGACGTCCCCACCCAAGACCCTGGGGGGAGGGCCCACAAGGTGACCTTGGTGCTGGGAGAGACCTGGCAGTAGGTGGGAAGCGGGATGAGGCGGTTGCTACTGAGTGTCTCGGACAGCCTCCGTCTCCTGACTGCCCCGCGTCCACTGAAAGCATTCAAGAAGCACCTCTCCTAGCCGAGTACCACTGGCTCACACCTGTAATCCTAGCTGTTCAGGAGGCTGAGATCTGAGGATTGAGGCTTGAAGCCAGGCCGGGCAGAAAAGTCTGTGAGGGCTAGAAACAGCCGTGGCTTGAGTGGTAGAACACAGGCCTTGAGCAAAAACGTTGAGAAGCAGTGCCCAGGCCCTGAGTTCAAGCCCCAAGACTGGTGTACGCATATAAAAACGTCCTTCCCAACTCCCAGTCACCAGAGCCACAGGAGCCACGAGCACGAACCCGCTTACATTGTTGGCATGCCACCCACCCCTGTGCCGGGGCACTGGGGCCTGAGCACTTGGCCCTCTGATGACGTGGATGGCAGCCCAGGAGGGCATGGGTGACATCTCTGTAGCCATCTCGTACCTACCATGCTGGCTGAAAGCACCAAACACTTGGGCAGAAACCAGAATCTCACCCAGAAAGAACTGAGGCCAGAGGCTTGGGCTGTGGGAGAAAGGAGGGAGAGGCCTGGGGAACGGTCTGTGGGTTCAGGTACATACCTGGCTCCCTCCTGCAGGAGCCCCACCCCCACCCCGCCTCGCTTGGCGACACACACAGGGCCAGGAAATAGAGGACGTTTAATATTTCTGTGCAGGTCGAATGGAGCACAGGTGGGGTACATGGGGGGAGGCTCTTGCCTCACGGGGGGAGGGTCTGTGCAGGGGTATGGGGTTTGCTTGGGAGAGATCCAAGGAGTCTTCTCAGCCAAGGGCCAGGCAGGGTGCTCAGTGTATCCCCCGCACACCTCGTCCTTGGTTTTGGTTCGGGGTCCCCCATAGGGGGTTGGTGGAAAGTCCCACATTTCCAGCTCTTTTGCTAGAATCCACGCTCCCAGTGGGATGGGGGACTTGGTCCTAAAAAGAGAGGGGTCCGGGAGCCCCCAGGAAGCAGCCCAGAGTCGGGAGCCAGAGCTCTGTCTCCTCCCTCCTTTCCCCAGGCGGGGCAAGGGCAGAGGGGAGGAAGGGGAGCAGAGCCCCCAGCCTCTAATGAGTCCCAGGGTCCTCGGGTGGGATTGAGGAGGGGCGGAGGGAGAGGGTCTTGCCACCAACAGACACTGTAAACTTTGGTTTAAAAACAATAAGTTAAGTGGAGGGGCTGGGCCAGGGAGGGGCAGTAGGTATTCAGTAGGCGACAAAGGAAAAAGCCAACAAAAAGTTTTGGTTTTTGCTTCCGGCATAAGAAAGGTCTTTGGTCATCCATTTTAACTAGGGGATGGGGTAAGGGGGCTGGGGAGGGGGGTGGTGTAAGGACTGCAGTGGGGGGGCATCTCCAGCCAGTCCTGGGGCGAGGCTGGATTTCAGCCTGGCTTCCCCTGTGCCACGGTGGATGTTTCTAGAGTCTATCAGATGGCGCTCAGGCTGCAGGGGTGACCCGACTCCACCTGCCACAGCACCCAGCAACCAGTACGGGCATGGGGGCCAGCCTCAGTCCAGTCTCAGAACAGAGGGGCCCAGGGGCTGGTCTGAAGGTCCACACCCTACCCAGGGTCAGGGCTAATTAGGGTTACAGAGCAAATCTTCACAGTACAGAAAAGACAGGGGGAGGGGGTGGGCACAGAGGAGGGGGGCCCCCTCCGGACAGAAACCATTGCCAGAGCCAGGCCAGGGGCGGGGAGTGAGGGGGCTCAGCCCCGCCTGCGGGTGTCCATGGCACTGAGGGGCCTGTAGGGGGCGCTGGTGGGGAGGAGGGCCCTGCTGCTGCTGCTGCTGGTGGTTGGGGGAAGCGGTGTTCAGGTGTGGGGGAGGGTTGGAGAGGGCCAGACCCTCCATGTCCTCTACCGGTCCCAGACCAGGGGTCCTATGTCCCCAAGTGTTTGTCGGTCAGGTCGTCTTGGGAGCTAGCTCAGGCCTCGGCCACCTGAGTCCTGGAAGTGCCTTGAGGTTGGAGGGGCTGTGGAGTGGGGTAGATGGACCCAGGGTCTGAGCAGTTGGGGGAGGGGGGGGGCGCGTGGTATCTCACCCCTGCCCTGCCCACCCCCTCCAGACCCTTAGGACAGCTCCTCTCCTGGCAGCTCTTCCTCCAGGTCCCTGTCTTCGGGGGGTCCCACGATGCTAGGAGTGGGGGGCACCAAGGCGGGCCCAGGTCGCCGTTCCTCCCCCGCCTCTGTGGGCTCCTCCTTCACCTGCACCTGGTGGCTGCACAGAAGGGATGAGGTGGGGGAGGCAGGAGGGCGGTGTGGGGGTGGGCTCCACATCCCCTTGCCCCCAAATGTATCCCGAAGCCATGGGCCCTCCCAGAACAGCAACACCCCCGACTTTCCCAGAACACCCCAAAAAGAGGGTGTCAGGATGGAGTGGAGAGAGACACGGGGAGAAGCCATGGGGAGAGAGGGTGGACGCAGGGGGGAAGAACGAGGAGGGAGTGGAGAGCTGAGAGGCCTTGGAGGAGGAAAGAGGGAAGGGTCCTGGGGCAGGAAGGGCTTCCTCCCGGAGTCTGCGGGCTCCCTGTGACCTGTCTCACCTGTACTGGGGAGGGGAAAGGCGAGGAGGGCTGCTGCTGCCATTGCTGGGCAGTGGCTCCCCAGGGGCACCCCCATCGTCCTGGCTGAGGGGCAGGAGGCTGCTGGCGGAGCCCGGGTTCAGCATGCCAGGGCTGCTGAGAAGCGGGAAGCTGCTCTCTGCCAGGGCGGCCTGGGGGGGGGGGGAGGGAGAGAATGGTGGAGAGGAGGGGAGACGGATCTATCCAGGGGGGGGGGGGACACACAGGGCTGGGGTGATCAGCAGCTGAAGGAGGCGGCGCCTTCTCACCCTCCTCCTGCGTGTGCATCAGTCGCGTCACCACAGCTGCCAGGCCCAACTCGGCCTTGGGCATCCAGCTGCCCCTCCTAGGCCGAGGCCAGAGCTCTGACCTCCCACCTCCCTGTTTTCCTGGGCACCTGACCTGGCTAAACCCTCCCCCCGGGAGACGGAGAACGCGTCAGGAGGCAGCGGCTATGCCCTGTGTGCTGCCCAAACCCAGCCTTGAAAGGGCTGGACTGAAGCGGATGGGGCAAGGGACAGTCACCTGGTAGCTGGCATTAAGTGCTCCATAACTGAGACCGGAGATCATGTTCTTCACCAGGGTGGGGCTCCTGGGGAGAGAGGGGGGCTCCAGCTCACCCACGGCCCAACTAAGGGCAGGGCCACGCCGGGCTCTGTGTGGGTGTCAGCCTGGGAGTCCGGAGCAGGGTCCTTATTCCTGGCTCCCACCTGGCCCAGGAGGTAGCACCCCCCACCCCCCTCCCAGGCATCCGCTGCACCTGCTGGCTCTGGGACCTGTCCTGTCTGAGCACAGGATGCTTCCCAGTCTGTCTTCACAACTGGGCACCCTTGATGGCCTGTGTGCCTTCCCCTCCCCCCCAACCAATGAAATGAAGAGCTGAGGGCAGGTATCAGAGGTGGGCTCATGCTACGTGGACAGTGTGGACCCTCGGGGGCAGCAGACCCTCAGCCATGGTCCAGGTGATGGCAGATGGCATGTTATGTTCCAGCCCTGGCTGTGGGGACTCTGCCTCATTGTACCAGGTCCCTCTTGGCTACTTCTCTTGATCACAAGAAGCAAGGACAGTTAGGTGTCAGTGGCTCATGCCTGTAATCCTAGCTACTCGGGAGGCTGAGATCTGAGAACAGCGCTTCAAAACCAGCCTGGGAAGGAAAGTCTGTGAAACTTTTATGTCTAATTAACAAGCAAAAGCCAGAGTGGAGCTGTGGCTCTTGCTGTGAAGGACCAGCCTTGAATGAACATGCTAAGGGAGAGCACTCAGGTCCTCAGTTCAAGCCCCAGTATGGGCACACACACAAAAGGAAAAAGCAGTGGCAAGCGTCTGCTTTCAGGGGGTCCACGTACCCGGTCATCTTTGGCGGTCTCCGCTTCTGATACTCGCGTTCATCCACAGTCCACACAGCACCCTTGACGTTCTCCACACGGACGAAGCACTTGTGCAGGCTGAGGTTGTGGCGCACGGCATTCTGGGAGAGCAGGGGACAGGCGCTCAGAGGCAGCCACGGGGCCTGCTCTCCTCTCCATTCAGTGAGCGTTGAGGTGGCGTCCTCTAGCAGTCCCACGTCCCAGGTGGCAGTAGCCACTTTTCCCAGCACAGTGACAGCCACAGCCAGGGGGAAGGAAGGTCCCTCCCCTATCCATCCTGCCACCAGGGAGCCCCACTTCCTCTCACTGGCAGCCCACTTCGCTATCGGCCCCCTCTCCCTGCCACACTTTAGAAAACGCTGTTTGCCGACTAAATGACATCTAGGCAGCAGTGATTACTTTCCCTGTCATCACTGATCAAAGACGCGCGTGGCTGTGACTCAGAGCCGCGGATGGTGGGATGGTGACAGGGTATCCGGGAGCTGGCACCTGGGAGGCCCAGGACACAGCTCATCACGGGCACATGGAGCGCTCCCGTTGGATTCTGACAAGTTTGGAAGTCACTCATGACCTTCATGGTGATCTGCACCTACCCCTGGGAGACCAAGAGCCACAGCCTGGAGCGACTGCCTAATACACACTTGTAGAAATAAACCACCTGCTAACCGGGAAGGAGTGAATAGCTACAGGCAAGATGGAATGAGAGAGAGAGTGAGAGAGAGGAGAAGGGGAGGAGAGAAAGAAGACAAGAGAAGAGAAGAAAGAAGAAACGAGAGGAAAATCTGTCACCTTGTTCTTCCTCTCTCCTCCTGGCAAGGTAAATTCAGGAATTGAGGTCATCTGGCTTGTAGGTCACTTGGGTGACAGCAGGCTGGCTGGACCCAATTCCCCACTGACAGCCCAGGCTAGGGACCTAATCCATCTCCTGCTCCTCATCCTCAGTCCTGCCTGTGCACTCTGTCCTCAGATTTTCTGTCCCCTACCTCCAGCCTCCAATATCACCATCCTTGCCTTCGTGCCCCCACCCCCCGCCCCGTCTCTGTTACCTGTCCTCTGTCCACCCCCCCCATCTCTTCTTTACATTTTTAAGTGGGGAAGGAAACGGGCAGGGCGGGCAGCCGGTGCCCCTGGAGACCCCCCCTCCCTCTCTCCCTTCCAACTCTTGCCACTTGCAACTGGCCCGATTTCATTACCAATTTTAATTTGCCTCTAATTAAATCCTGTGTATTTTTCCGACTCGCTTGCTAATCCACGAGGGAGGCGGGCGGCTGGAGTGGAATCTCGTGGAGCGATAATTACAAAGGGCCTAATCACGCTGGGCTCCTGCCTTGGAATAAATTTGCCCGCATTACGGGGCTCCGATCCTCCGCTTTGCAAATGAGAATGACCCCAATTTCCGAGGATGGCCTCACCGGGGCTTTTTTCCCTCATTTCGAAGCCTGATTCGTGATGGGAGACTAATTCGTTACGCTAAAACATTAGCGGCAATTTAAGGGGTCTGGCGGGGGCTGCGTAAACAAAAGGACGGGCCCACAACACGGGTCCTGGGAGGGGATGGACATGCAGGCCAAGAGGACGAGGCCTCGGCAGATGGCAGCTCTGTCCCTGGAGCAGCAGCAGCTGGCCAGGCCCACACCCACTCACGGTCCTTCTGCCCTCGTCTGAAGCAAATGGCACCTGGGTGTGGGGTGGGGGCCAGAAAGGGTGAAGGAGAGAGGGTAAGAGGAAGATCAAATACCGTAGGGCAGGGAAGTGGTGGAAAGCAGAGGTCAGAGGGAAACTGTAGAAAGAGAATACTTCACAAGTAACACAAATGAAGTGTGGCTTTAAAAAAAGAAAAAGAAAACAAAACCCCTTGAGTCCAGAGCCGGTGTCTCAACACCTATAATCCTAGCTACTCAGGGGACTAAGATCTGCGGATCACAGTTGAAAGCCAGCCTGGGCAGGAACATCCTTAAGACTCCATTTCCAAAATGACTGGCAAAAAGCTAGACCGGAGGCGAGACTCAAGTGATAGAACTGAATAAGCAAGCCAAATGAACCCAAGGCCCTCAGTAATGGTAATATCAATCAATCAATCAGTCAACCCCCTTGAAAGTCAAAGTGGATCTTTTTTTTTTGTCGGTCGTGGGGCTTGAACTCTGGGCTTGGGTGTTGTCCCTCAGCTCTTCAGCTCAAGGTGAGCGCTCTACCACTTGAGCTACAGCGCCACTTCCGGTTTTCTGGTGGTTTATTGGAGATAGGAGTCTCACAGTGTCTCCTGCCCGGGCTGGCTTTGAACCGCAATCCTCAGAACTCAGCCTCCTGAGTAGCTAGGATTACAGGCGTGAGCCACCAGCGCCCGGCTTCAAAGTGGATCTTAAGCATAGACAAAATTTAGTCTGCCACTGGTAGTGCCCGGCACGGCAGCCTTGGGCAGCAGAGCACTGCTAACTGGGACGGCCACTCAGTCATTCACTCTGCCTAGCCTGGCTGGCTGCTTACTGCTAGTTAGGGAAGAGATTGAGGTGAAGGCAGACATGACCAATCCTGGGTGACCTGTTTTCAGCTCTTGATTGCAAGAGGAGACACAGGCAGACAATTCAAGGAGAGAAAAAGGTACTCTCCCCTAAGAGAAAAGGCTACTGGATGCAAATGAAGTTCTACATTCCACCTCAAAAGAGGCAAAGGATTAACAAACGGCAGCATCCAAATTAACGTTAGATCACAACTGTAGTCTTTCCTCTGTATAGAACCACCACTGCTAAAACCTAGTATCTGATCTGGCTTGAAGGGTGGAGATCAGCCCTGGTAGCCCCAAGAGGGCCAGGCTGGCTCAGAAAGAGGGTGAGACTGTGGTTGGCAGGAAATGACATCACTCATAGCCAATCAGAGCAGCTGCTCTAGCTATCTAGTCTCTCTTCCCAGGCTTTGGGGGCTAGGCATGGGGACCTGGGAGAATATGGAGCAGAACCTCCTCCTGCACTCTGCAGCTGCATACTCCAGGGCAGGGGCGGCTGGGGCCATGCAGACCCCACCTCGCCCTGGGCGCTGCGGGGGGGTGGGGGGGGTGGAAAGAGGCCTCCCAGTAACACTTGTTGAAATCTTGGGGGAGGGGAGAAGGATGAGCTTGTTTAAGTGCAGTTTCTAAACTGGCCAGCAGGGGGACTCGAAAGCCAGAGATTCAGAAAGGTTTAGCGATAGGGACACCCTCAGGTGTCCCTGCTGTATGGGCAGCACACACATGCATACGCACATGCACATGCACACGCGCGCGCACACACACACGCGTGCGCGCCCTATTTTGGCTATAAAAAATAAATGGCTTAGCACCCAAGCTCACATCTCTGTGTCCTATTTTTTCTAGGGGTTCCCCTCTTGCATTCCCCTGGTCTCTCAGGAAAACTCTTAATGACTGAAGGTGTTAAAATGACTAATTGGATAGAAACAATTATCTTCCTGCCACTGGTGGCAGAGCTGCGGAGTGTGAGTGGCTGTGTTTGTGTTTCAGAGTATGCTCCACTAGCCCCCATCCATGCCTGTTATCCCTGCCCCTCTCCCAGGTGGAACATTCAGCCAACCATCCAGATCTAAGCGTGGACTCACCACCAGCCTGCCCACTACTGCTTCTTGAGGCCCTACTGCATGGGGCTGGAGTCTGTGTACTAGAGCAGAACAACCGAGAAAAGAGAAAGACTGGTTTCCACAAAGGCAGGAACACAGAGGGGCCCTGGGAGCTCATGTTTGTAATCCTAGCTGAGCAGGAGGCTGAGATCTGAGGATCACGGTTCAAAGCCAGCTTGGCCAGGGAAGTCTGTGAGACTCTTATTTTCAATGAACCACCCAAAAGCTAAAAGTAGAGCTGCAGTTTTAAATAGTAGAGTGCTAGCTTTGAGCAAAAAAAAACAAAACAAACCCATCCAGGGTAACATCCAGGCCCTGAGTTCAAGCTCTAGAACCAGCTCAAAAAAAAGGAGGGGGGGAAGTAGATAAAGCTGGATAGTATCATTAAAAGACAGGGGAATGCCTGCTTTGCATGCATAAAGTTTTGGATTCAATCTTTTTTTTTGTTGGTCGTGGGGCTTGAACTCTGGGCCTGGGCACTGTCCCTCAGCTCTTCAGCTCAAGGCGAGCACACTACCACTTGAGCTACAGCGCCACTTTCGGTTTTCTGGTGGTTTATTGGAGATAGGAGTCTCATGGTCTCTCCTGCCCAGGCTGGCTTTGAACCGTGATCCTCAGATCTCAGCCTCCTGAGTAGCTAGGATTACAGGCGTGAGCCACCAGCGCCTGGCTTTGGATTCAATCTTGTAACGTACACACACATCTCTCCACAATCTCTCTCTCTCTCATGACTGTGCCTGGTAGTACATGCGCCTGTAAGTAATCCTAGCTACTTGGGAGGCTGAGGCAGGATCCTTCTGAGGATCTTCTTTTGAACCCAAGAGTTCAAGGCCAGCTTGGGCAACATGGTGAGTCTTTATCTCAAAGAAGAAAAAAAAGCTAGTCACGGAACAACACTCAGCAGCTCTTGCTGAGCTGGGGAGAGAGCCTTGGTCCTGCCTGAGGCTTGATGAGCTATTCATTTTCTTTTTTGGGAGGGGGGTGGTACTAGGGTTTGAACCCAGAGTCTCACTAGCCTTCTAGTGAGCCATATCCTGGCCCTGGCGGGCTGTTTCTGCAGAACTCAATGTTGAGAGGAGGAACTGTGAGTTAGTCTTGCCCTGGATGGGAGGGAGATGCCTGGGGTGCCGGGAGGGCAGGGGGAGGAGGCGTATACCTCACCTTCCAGGTGGCGGTGTTTCTGCGGAAATAAGCGAACATCCTGGTGAACCAGTTATAGATCTCATTCAGGGTCAGCTGCCTGTCAGGAGTTTCCAGAATGGCCTGTGGGTGAGAGAAGAGCAGAGACCCTCAATCTGGGCCTGGTAGGGTCTCACTCCCGTTTTCCTTCCCTCTGCCTGGGCCCTAACTAGCCAGCGTGGAGGAGAGTCACTGCAGGCAAGAGGATAGAGACGGGCAGATGTGGAGGTCCCCTGAGGGTCCGGGCCTGTCCAGCCAGCCTCCAGGAGCACAGGGGCTTCTGAGGACAGCTTCACACACCAGGTCCTGAGGGAGCACGAGAGTACAATTCTCAGCAGTGATGTCCGTGGGGTGGAGTCGATTGGGATTTTCCCAGAGCATGAAGGGGGACATGAGAATATATATAAGGTTCTGCGTATGTGCGTGTGCGTGTGTGTGTGCTGCCCGCTTATCACAAGTATATGCACATGGACATGACAGATGCCTGACAAATCTAGTGCGTGTGGGCAGTCAAATCAGTGTGCCCCTAGTCACCGTGCGACACGTGTGTGAGCAGCAGGTCTGCAGAAGGCAAGATGGAGGGCAGGGCAGGGCAGTGCCTCCGTGCCATTCCCCAGCCCTCCTCCACTCCCGCAGCTCACCTGGCGGATGAGGGAGGCGTAGGTGAAGGGGGGCCTGACGTCGGCGTTCTTGTAGAACTCATGATTCTGGGCCAGCTCTGGGGGAGACAGGCAGGGGTGAGGGCCCTGCGGGCGGCACCCCCCCTCCCCCAGCCCTGCTGCTCTAGCGCACCCTTACCTGAGGAGATGGGAGAGCAGAACTTGTCACTGCTTCTCCTGCGCGCTGGGCCCCCGCTGTGCAGGGAGGCAGAGCCCAGGCCAGGGGGCCGCAGGGGGGTGACAGGGGCAGCAGCCGAGGTTGGGGGGTGCACCAGGCCATCTGGGAATGGGTCTGCGGAGACGGTCACCTTGGAGAATGAGGAGGAGCCGGGGACTGGGTTCAGCTGTGAGCAATGGGGGAGGGGGGGCTGAGAACAGCACCAAGGGAGCTGAATGAAGGGCACAAGGGACTGTGGGGGGCTGGGGGGGAGCAGGGGGGTCACTCACGGGCTGGCTGAAGGGCTTGGGCTCAGAGGGCCGCATGTGCAGGTGCGCCATCATGGCCTGTAGCCGCTCACTCTCCTTGGCGAGCTGTGGAGAGGCAGCGGGGCGAGGTGAGCCTTGGGCTTCCTTTACCCAGTGCGCCAGCACTTGGGTAGGAGGGTTTTTGGGTCAGAAGACCCTTATGTACTTAGTGATTCACATACTCAGGTTCACACCTATAATCCTAGCTACTCAGGAGCTGAGATCTGAGGAGGACCATGGTTTGAAGCCAGGCTAGGCAGGAAAATCTGAGAGACATTTATCTCCAATTAAGCATCAAAAAGCCAGAAGCAGAGTTATGGCTCGAGTTATAGAGCACTAGCTTTGTGCAAAAAAGCTGAAGGACAGTGCCCAGTCCCACTACAAACAAATAAACTCATTAATTAATTCAATGGATCTTTTGCTGTAACCCTCTCTCGGGAGAGTGCTCTGTGCCTAGCAGATTGGCTGCTTGTTGGACTGTGCCCCGGAGCTTCAACCCAGGAGCCCGACTGCTGCCTAGGTTCTAGGCACAGCTCTGTCACTTGCCGGCAAAGCAACCACCAGAATGGCTTTCTGTGCTCTCTGTATACGAAATGGGATTAATGATCCAGGTGTGACCACACGAGGTTGCCTGCCCTGCATATTAGTTTTTATTTTGGAGGGAGGGGGACTGGTACTGGGACTTGAACTCAGCAGTAATGTTTCTTGGCTTTTCCACTCAAGGGTTAGCACGCTAACACTTGAGCCTTAACTCCCCTTCTGGCTTTTTGCTGGTTAATTGTTTTTTGTTTTTTTTTTTTCCCCCCAGGGCTGAGGACCGAACCCAGGGCCTTGTGCGCGCCGGGCGGGCGCCCTTCTGCTGGGCTAAACCCCCAGCCCCTTTGCTGGTTAATTGGAAATAAAGAATCTTTCACCTTTGTCCGTCTGGGCTGGCTTCGAATCGCTCCTCAGATCCCCACTTCCTAAGCAGCTAGGGTTGCAGGCATGAGCACCGTCGCCCAGCTTGTTATTTTTGTGTTTGTGTAGCCGAGTCTTTTCAGTTCCCCACTTTGGTTCACACTCAGAATTCAGCTGTCCTCACCTCATGCCAAGATAATTAAGACTTAGCATAGAACACTCCCACAAGACTATGGAGACCCTTCATGGAAAGCCCACACGATACTGGGCAGGGCCCAGCCCATTGTACCCCCACCCCTGCTCCATTGGGCCACACCTGGATCTCCAGCTGCTGGACCACCTGCATCTGCACACGACACTGGGCAGTGCTCCGGTCATCCAACGCATGCTCAGTGTTGAGGTGTCTTGGAGGGGAAAAGAGGCGGAGAAGAGAATGGGTCTGGGTTTTCCTGCTTCACCTCGCAACCCAACCTCCAATCCCACTCGCCTTTGGTCTGCAAAGCAGACAGACCAAGAGATACAAAGAAGAGAGAGAGGAAAAAAAAAGAAAAGAAAAGAAAAGAAAAACAGGGCAAAGGAGGAAGCCTTCTCGTCAGGCTCCTTTGATGTCTTTGCTAAAACTCAGCTACAGAGAGATCTAATTGCAAATGAACTAATTAAGTAAACCTCTGACGAAGCGTGAAAACAATTTGTTTGACCCTGATGCTGCATGGGTCCGGGAGACAGCAGAGTTAATCAGTCAGTGACAGCCTGGCACTGCGGTGGCAGCTGGCCGCCTGCTGCCAGCCGCCTGTCGGCCTCCCGCCCTGCCTGTCCGCGGCCCTCCCTCTCCAGGCGGTGGGGAGGGCGGCGAGTAGTGAAGTGCTTCCCCCTGAGACTCCCCCTTGTCTGGATAGGGATGGCAGGCTGCCAGCCAGGGAAAACAGAGGGGGAGGGGAGTGATGGGGGCCAAAGAAGAACCAGAACACCCCCTCCTGCTCCCCTTGCAGGGAAGACACAGGCTAGCTGGTGACCGAAGGCCCCAGAAAGGACAAGCTTGGTGGCAGGCTGGGGTGGGGAGCTGCTGCTGGGGAGGGGTCAGGGTGACACTTACTTGATAAACTGACCCAGGTCTTCGCACAGGGTCTCACAGCCTGGCCATTTGCACTCTCCATGTCCATAGAGGGGGTGGGAGCCGGGGGTCTCCTCATGGGAGGAGCTGGGGGGGGAGGCAGGAGGTAGTTGTGGTTAGAGACTCCCCCCTCCATGGCCCCAGCTCCCTGCTGGTGCTCTGGGAGACCGGGCCAACTTCTGGGTCCCTGAGCTCTCGCCTGGAGTCCTGGCCAGCCCGTGGGACAGGTCATTGCCTCCCGCTCCCACGCCACCCCCACTCTACCTGTCTCTCCGTGCTGTGAGCACAGTAGGTTGTCCGTTGGGCAGGGGGTGGTGGGAGAGGGGTGGGGAGACCTTGGGGGGGCTGGCAAACGAGGTAGCAGTAGCAGCTGTGCCGGCGAGGTCCAGCCCCTCCTGCCTGACGCTGTCCTCAGCAGGCTGTCCAGGGGCACCCTCGCCCTTCCACAGCTGGGGCAGATCCGTCGGGCACACGGCTGCTGCGGGAGAGATGGGGAGGCTGGCAGGGCCCGGGCCCATCCACAGCCCGCGTCTCACCTGGCTCGGGAGCTCAGGGATGGCGGGGGAGCTGGGGGTGGAGGGTGGGGGAGGGTGGGAGTGGGCTCACCTTGCGGGAGAGTCTGGAGGGGCCCTGACGCTTGGCTGGGCTGCAGGCTGACCAGCCCCTGTCTCTGCAGGTTGAGCAAGTGCTGCTGCTGTAACTGTTGTATCTGGAGGAGCTGCTGCTGGAAGGCCAGCTGCTTGTTCCCCAGCGCCTGGGAGGGGGCCCGAGGGGGTGGGCAGAGAGGGGCGCCGTTAGCCTCAGCCGCGCCATCTGGCCCCCACGCTGCGGCCACCCCCTCCCAGGGCCTGTCAGCCCCCGGAGCTGCCGTGGTGGCGTCCGCGGCTGCAGCTTCTCTGCTCCCGGCCCAGCTTCCATAGGGCTGCATGCCTCCTCACAGTAAACACACGCATGCACGCATGCACGCACGCGCGCGCGCGCAAACACACACAGCCAGACCCAGACACGCAGCACGAAGCCCTCCTTCCTTCCCCCTCCCTCCTCCGTGGCTCCGGCTCCCGAGCTACAGCTGTGCATCTGTAGGGAGGGGAGGAAGCTTGTCCTATCACCATGATCAATGAGTCCGTCAGGCTGGGACCACTCCTGCCTGGAGGGCATCCTTTCCACAGGCCCAGGGCCCCCTCCACTGGGGGGAGGTTCTGTCCCCGCATTCCTCCACCCCTAGATCCCATCCTTTCTTGCTTTTTGGACACAGGGTGGGGGGAGGGTGGGACTTGGTCGGGAGATCAGCTCATAGAGCAGTTCCACTACCATGGCACAAGCACACAGGGCTTCTGCGGATGGCTTCTGCCCCACCCCCTCCCTTCTTCAGGTCTTCTACATGCACTGACAAGTGAGCTGTCACCAAGCACTCTGAGTCCTGAGAGCCATGCATGCCCTGGGTGTTTGGAAGCAGGGTCATCACTGTCTGTCTGTCTGTCTGCCTGCCTGCCTGCCTGCCTGCCTGGGGTGGAGACTGGCTACTGAATAAGGAGACAGGAGGCTAAACCAACAGAGACTGATGATCTGGAACATTTGTAAGACGAAGGGTGGCTGAGGAGAGGATGGGGAAAGCCCTGGAAAGAGGCATTAGAGAACCTTAGGCTGCACTGTGGCCAGTTTCCGAGACATGGGTGGTGTCTGGGATGTGGGGAACCCGATGCAGTCACTGTGACCCAGATAGGGCAGGGGGTCTGGGCTGGGGAGTTCTGGAACAAGTTGGTGGGGCTGGGCAAGGCATTATAAGAAAGGACAGGTTGGGCACCATGGTTCATACCTGTAATCCTAATTACTCAGGAGACTGAGCTCCAGGATCACAGTTCTGGCAGGAAAGTCTATAAGACTCTTAACTACCAAAAAGCCAGAAGTGGAGCTGTGGTTCAAGTGGTAGAGCACTAGCCTTGAGTAAAGGACAGCACCCGGACCCTAAGTTCAAGCTCTACTGTGTACACAGACAAGCGTGCGCACACACGCACGCACACACACACACAAACACACAGAGAAAGCAGCTTAGGCTTCTGCTGAGGGGCTGGGTCTCTAACAGAGGTGGGCAGCAGGATGGCATGGCCACAGCAAGCAGCTAGACATGAGCACAGAACATCACTCTCACGCTGGTCACACGCATTCGTGTGCAGTGACAGCTCCACACAAGGAGAGAAAGAAAAAAATGGGTGGCATGCGAGTAACCTTCCCTCTCACTCCCTTAACGTCTTCCCTCCAGCTTTTTCCTGACCCTTCTATTTCCACAAGGCTGACCACTTCCAGACTGCAGCTTGTGTCCAGGAGAGGGCTGGGCTGCAGGTGTGGGGAAGGGGAGCTCCGAGGGCCATCCTGGACTTGGGCCTGGTGGTGATTACAACTACTCACCTCTTTGGGCTGTTGTTTTCCTGCCTGCTGCTGGGTGAGGAGCTGTAGGTGGAGCTGCTCTTGCTGTTTCTTGTAATATTCCTGCAGCTGGAGGAGCAAGGGGGTGGTTAGCCACAGGGCCTGCTGGCTCCAAATCTAGCCTTGTTCTGCCCAGGGTCCTGCAGGGTTCCCTAGAAAAACTGGCCTGATAGAGTCTGTGATCCCCAAGAGCAGAATGTAGGGGTGGAGGCGAGAGGGAGGAGGCAGTCCTCAGCTCTGCCCCTCTGACTTTAACTTAGATTTCCTGAACAGGTGACAGGGACAAGGGATGAGCATGTTCCAGTACTTTGCCCTTCCTGAGTCCTAGAGATGGACATGGGGCCAGCACACAGAAAACCTGGAAGGGGGAGCTGCTGAGGCAGGTGAGACCTTTGGCTCTCCCAGATGCCCTGAAGGAATGTGGATGGGTCCAGCCTGGGCAGTCTCTCTGGTTTCTACCACAGCCTGAGCCCTCAGCAGGCTGGTGATAGAGAGGGAGGCCAGAGGCCAGGCAATCTGGGGAATCCCGCTATCCTGGGGTCGAACTCACCTGCTGGAGCATGAGGGCCTGTTGCTGCTGGAGCAGGGCCTGCAGCTGTGGGGGTGACAGGATCTGCTGCATCTGCTGGGGGGTAAGCATCTGCTGCGACATCATGGCCACTGACATGGGCACCTGCAGGATTTTCCCTGTTAGTGCCAGGCGGAGCCTGGGGCCTCACACAGGGTGGAGGGACGGTTCCAATGAGACTGCCTGGGTTTGCATGCTGGCCCTGCCACCTACAGCCCTGTCTCTTTAGACACATGACTTAACCTAAAATGGAAAAAGGAAAGCATGCCTACCTTGAGAGGGTAACACAAGGGTTAATGGCTAGTGGCAGGGTAGAGCCTGGCAGATGCCTGTAAGGGCTGGCGGTGATGGTGGGACACTTTGTCCTTGGTGCAGGACAATTAGAGGGCTGTGACCTCCGATTAGTGGAAGCCATCCTTTGGAGGATTTGTCACTCAGTGTGGGGGGGAGCACACAGGATAGTCACACCTCTGCTCAGTCTGTCCTGAGACCACCAACTAGGTGCACAACCACAGGAAGAACTTTTTTTTCCAGTCCTGGCTTAAAGCCCTGACAGTCTCTGAGCTTCTTTTTGCTCAAGGCTAGCACTCTACCCTTTGAGCCACAGAGCTTTTTCTGTGTATGTGGTGCTGAGGAATCGAACCCAGGGCTTCATGCATGCTAGGCAAGCACTCTACCACTAAGCCACACTCCCAACCTGCCACAGGAAGATTTTTAACAAGTGGCCCAGCCAGGTGCTGGTGTAATCCTGTAATCCTGCCTATTCGGGAGGCTGAGATTTGAGAATCACAGTTCAAAGCCAACCGGGGTCTGTGAGACTCTTTTATCTCCAATGAAGCAGGAAAAAAGCTGGAAGTGGAGGTGTGGTTCAAGTGATAGAATGCTAGCCTTGAGTTTAAAAAAGACCAAAGGAGGGGCTGGGAAGGTGGCTCAGTGGTAGAGCGCTTGCCTTGCATGCATGAGGCCCTGGGTTTGATTCCTCAGCACCACATAAGCAAAAAGAAAAAAAAAAGCCGGAAGTGGCGCTGTGGCTCAAGTGGTAGAGCGCTAGCCTTGAGCTGAAGAGCTGAGGGACAGCGCCCAGGCCCAGAGTTCAGGCCCCACGACCGGACCCCCCCCCCAAAAAAAAGGCCAAAGGAGAGCACAAGGCCCTAGTTCAAGCCCTAGTATCAACACACTACCGAGTGTACAAGGAAATGAAGACCTATCGCAGAGGGAGGGACGAGCAGCAGGTGGGGTGGGGTGGGGGGTCAGGAGGACAGTCTCTCCTTCTAGCTCATGCTAAACTCGTTGGGCAATCTCTAGCAGGTGGTCTGCCCTCTCTGAGGTGTCCCTTTTCCTCACACATAAAGCACAGGCTGGCTCCTAGTGGGGATTCGGGGGATACCAGCTTTACACCTTCTGTCCTGTGGTCCAACTACAGGCAAGAGGCTCGGGATAAAGCACCAGTGTTACTCTCTCCACCCCATGCTCCTGAGGCTTGCACAGTCACCAACAGACAGCTCTAAGCCACTACACTCTCCTCTCCCCTTGTTGTACAGAGCAGGTGCTCTGATGTAGCTCTCTGCCAACCCCATCATCGTTCTAGAAGCTTTACCCTGCCTAATCTCTCACTCCCAAGCCTGGCACACAGTAGGTGCTCTTAACTAAGTACATGCTTCCTAAACTGAAATAGCTGGGTGGGAAGGGAGGGTATAGGGACAGCCCAGTCAGGAAGGAAGTCCTGCAGGAACTTGTCTCCAGAACCCCTCCCAGAGCCCCAACCCTACCTGGAGGCTGGAGGAGGAGTTGGCTCCCTTCCTGCAGGGGCAGGACTCAGTATCCAGCCATCCTATAAGCTACAGAATAGGAAATTTCCCCAGGCAGAGTCTGAGCAAACAGGGGACACAGGCATACCCTGGAAGGTCCACTGCTAACCCCCCTGCCCAACTGGTGGCTAAGCCCCACTCCTGAGCTTTTCCCCGTCTCTGGGAGGTGTGGCAAGCTAGCTTTTAGCATGGCTGTACCATGTAATATAAAGGAAGGCTCCTGCCAGGGACCTCTAAGCAGGTGGCAGGTGAGGTGAGGCAGGCTGGAGAGCTCTTTGGGGCTTGTTCCTTACAGCCCATTTCCACCCAGGAACAGATCAGCGAGGCCACATGTGGGCTTGAAGTAGGAGGGTTAGGATTTAAGTCCAGGTCTATGAAGCCGTGGCTCTGGGTGTTTGCAGCTCCCACTAGTTTCTCAACCACAGACCCAGAGGTGACTTTCAAAAGTTGCAACCATATGCTACGCCAAACTTAACTTACAAATTCATTTTCCTCTTTTTTCAGAACGAACAGCTAAGAAGACCTTAGAGTGTCTTGTTAAGTGTTTCCTATTTTCAAATACGAACATTATCAGCAGGACAATTCTCTGTGCAGCGGTGTTTGATTCATCTGATAATGACATGTGTTACATCATTAAACAAAACATAGCTGGTGTGGTGGCTCAAGCCTGTAATCCCAACTACTGGGAAGGCAGAGATTGAGAGAATCATAGTGTTCATGAGAGGAGCCTGTCCACGTTCCATTCCCATGGGAACAGCCCAGGCAAAAAGGCAAATCTGGAAATGGGTAAGCAGGCACGCCGGGGCTGGGGGACGCAGCAGTCACAGCGGAAGGGCAGAAGCAGCCGAGGCCTCAGAAGTAATTCCCTTCTTTGTACCTTCATTCCTGAGCCATTCTGTTTTCCATCCAGAGACTGGGTGGAAGGGTTACAAAAGCCTAGGCAGGAAGTGTTCCACATGAGGTAGGACCCCGGCCTGTCCTTTCCTTCCTTCTCTCAGGGCACCTGCAGCGGCAAGTGCCAAGCCCTGGCTTTCTCAGTCAGGTGATCGAGGCTCTTTGAAGTCACCAAGCCTCACCTTGCCCACCTTCTGGCTGGGACTCAGAACACCTGCCCTTCCCGTTTCTCACTGTACACAGGCTGCGCTCACCAAGCAGGTTCGGGGCATGGGGCCTGGCCCTATGAGGTGGTACTGTGATGGTTACCATTTCATGAATGAACACTGACTAAATAACTTGTCATGCTCCCAAAGGGGCAGCAGAAGGGGGTTAGCAAAGGGCACTGCACAGCCAGGGACACTGAGACCCAAAGTAGCAGGTGTACCTATGGCAGAGAGAACTGAACTCAGAAGACACAGACAGGACAGACAGACTAGAGCTGCCCAGAGCATCAATCCAGGCACTAGAACTGTGAGTCACAGGCAGAAGCACACAGCTAAGGACTGGCCTGGCCTTCCCCGGGGCTTTCCACCTCACAGACACAGAAATAGAAGAGACCTCGGATGGCCTCCCTGGCTCAGGGGCTCCTGCCAGGGTAGCTGCAGAGGCCACTATGAGACCCAGAGGGTGGAGTGCTCATGCATGCCGGCCTCCAGGTGGCCTGATGGGACCAAGAAGTGTCGTGAAGTGGCTGGGTACAGCCACCCACCACCGTGCCCCTTAGGGGTGCTGAGAACCAAGTCCCCATGGACTCACCAGACTGGGACATGTTATCACAGGCACTTGCCAGCTGGTAAGCTCAACGGGGCCCCAGGAGGCCCCATCTGGAGAGCAGCCAGGAGCTTCCCTGGCCGGGAGAACTGCATTGAAAGCCAGCAGCTGATCCAGCCCCCTAGCAACTCTGCTCAGGCCCCAGCTCCTCTACCTACCATAAACACAGGGTGCTAGTGGGGACAGGGACGATATCTGACAGAGGAAGTTCATCTGGGGCGCAGGTCAGAGTGGAAACAATTTGGTGCCTGAGTGAAGGACTCACACATGTAAGTCAGGAGTCCCTGGGTGTGTGGGGAGCAGTATGGAGACATCAGCATGGAGTGTGATTTGGGTAGACTCCTTTGCAAATAACCAGAAGAAAATTTGCAGACTGGCCAGGTACCAGTGGCTCATACCTATTAATTTGAGCCACTCAGGAGGCTGAGATGTGAGGATCAAGGTTTGAAGCCAGACAAAGCAGGAGAGTCTGGGAGACTCTTATCTTTAATTAACAAAAAAGCCTGAAGTGAGCTGGGTGCCAGTGGCTTATGGCTAGGACTATAGCCACGGTTCAAATCCAACCTAGGCAGGAAAGTCTGTGAGGCTCTTATCTCCAATGAACCACCAGAAAACTGGAAGTGGCACTGTAGCTCAAAGTGGTGGAGCACTAGCCTTGAGCAAAAGAGCTCAGGGATAGTGCCCAGGCCCTGAGTGCAAGCCCCATGATGGGTGTGTGTGTGTGTGTGTGCGTGTGCGTGTGTGTGTATGTACAGGTTGCAGGGGAACGTGGAGTTGTGGCTCACTAGCTATGGCTAACCTTGAACAAAAAAGCTCATGGACAGTGCTAAGGCCCTGGATTCAAGCCCCAGGAATGGCACAAAATGAATGGAAATGGAAAAGAAAGGAAAGAAGAAAGAAAGGAAGGAAGCAAGCAAGCAAGCAAGCAAGGTTTCAGTGTAGTTAAAGCAAGAAAGTGGTGGCACATTTAGAAAACTTTCCAGAAATGCCATATGGCTGGCCCCAGCCATCTCCTCTGAACTCCCAGCTACCTGTACCACTTCCTGTGATTTGGCTTTCTCTGCCTAGGGTTCAGGCCTGACCTGACCACACCAGTCCCCATGTTGTACCTGGAGCCTTAATACGGTTTGGAAGGCCATCTGAGGCTGCTCTTGAAGGGCGAGAAGGAGGCTGGGAAGTGAGTGGCAGGCCATGCCGTTAGGGAGCAGAGTGGTACCTGTGGGGCCTCAGGAAGGACACCATCAACCTCCTAATAGAAAACAAGCATTTCCACTCAGGTAAGAAGCCCAGCCCTCTCTTCCTTGCCTGAGGGCCTGAAGCCCAGAGGAAAGCTCTGTTTCTAGGCGTGGGAAGTAGAATCAACAGTGAGGGCTCCCAGCTCCTGGGGAAGTTCAGACCTGATCCCAGGGAACTTGGGTCTCTATGGTGGAGACGCAGGCAGTAGTGTGTGGGGACCAGGAGTGTGAGTGTTGGGGGCGTGACTTTGGACAACATAACCTCTAGGCCTTACTTCATCTGCAGGATGGTTTGATGAAAGCACCTGTCCCACAGATATGAGGGTAAATGACACGGTACATATAAAGAGCTTGGAGCCCATCTCTAGAACATTCCATACATGTCAGCCATTGGCATAGTAAGAAATACTTGGTGAGGTCTGCTGAATGAACCAATGAGCTGATTACTGGGAGGAAAGGAGGCAAAAAGAGAGACTAAGATTGGAGGACTGTGGTTTGAGGCCAACTCAGACATAGGAGTCTGTGAGACTCTTATCTTTAATTAACTAGCCAAAAGCTGGAAGTGGAGTTGTGCCTTAAGTAACAGTGAAAAATCCTATGGACAATGCCAAGGCTCCGAGTTCCAGCCCCCGTACCGGCACTAGAAAAGACAACAAACCCTTAAACTGTTGGATAGCTCTCATGTTCTCAGGGGTGGGAGTGTCCTAAGGATGTCTCAGACCTTGCCACAGTACCAGACTCCAAAGCTCCTGCCATGCCTGCCTTCGGCCTCCAGCACCACCCAGCTCCATATCCCTCCCGCCAGGGCCAGCAGGTCCCATTTGGTTTGGGGCCAGTCCTATCCCGTTCTCATAGGGAATCCCTGAGCTGGGCTGGCAAGGAGAGGGCAGCCACTGCAGAACCAGAGCGCACCTCGGGGTGGGGGTAGGGGGAGGTGCCAATCCATCAAGCAAACCCAGTCTTGACAACTCAGAGTGTATGTATGAAGACAGGCGTGGGGTCTCTCTTCCTCTCTGCACCCCTCCCCAGCTGCACCCCTCCTCTCCAGTCCCCTCTGAGCACCATTTAGATAGCTCACGCATTGTTCCTTGGGCACCTTGAACTTTTCAAAGCACTTTCTGACTGTACATTCAATTTTTAACAAATAAAACAGATCCTTGGTTGAAGCTCTGGAACTTTCCTCAGGACCAGGTTCTTTTTTTGGGGGGCTGGGGGTAGGAAAGGAATCCTATATTCCCCTCCCCTTCCTCACAACCTCCCCCCTCCCTTCAGCCCCTAGAAGGCTCAGGATCAGCTCTGTACAGTGCTCTCTCTTCCTCCCTTAGATAAACTTCCTTTCAAAGCCTGGCTTAATCCTCTCCCCAGTCCCCAGCCGTCAGCACTGCTGGGGGGGGGGCAGGGGGAGAATGGGCTCCACTGCAGGGCAGAGGGGGAGGGGAATGGCTGCCCCAGTAGTGACCCAACCAGACTCAGACTTCAATTCTCCCAAGTTCTTTGTGTCACAAAAGGTAAACAGAAGGCCTGGCTTCCCCTCCTCCCTCCCCCAGTTGGCCAGATGGGCCGGCAAGCTGGGGGGAAGGGAGAAGGGGGAAAAAAGGGCAGATTGTACAAAGGAAAACAAGAGAGATAGAGAGACAGCAGAGACGGGAAACGGGGAGAGACTGGGAGAGTCAGTGGTTGAGAGATTGCAGGGGGGGGGGTGCTACAAAGGGAGGTGTGAGGGCGGAGACTCCAAGGCAGAGGGAAGCACACTGGGAAGACTGCCTGGGACAGACCCCAAGAGGAGAGGCAGGGCAGAGGAGGCCCGGCAAAGGAGGTCCAGAGACAGTGACTAAAAAGACAAAGAGGCAAAAGTGCCCCGGGGCCTGGGGACCAGAGGGGCAGGGAAAGTGGACGTGTCTCCACCCACACCCTTGCAGTGACTAGACTTCTTCCTGGAAAAAGTTGCCCACTTTCTAGTCCACCAGCCTAGAGCAGCAGCAGCAGCAGCAGCAGCAGCAGCAGCAGCAGCAGCACACCCTCCTCACCTGCAGGGCAGAGGCTGACTGTTTGCTGTCATTGTTCCCGGGGGAGCTCAGACTGGAGGCCTGCTGTAGCAGGAACTGGCGGGCCACCTGGAGAGCCTGTAAGACAGGGGCTGAGTCAGTGGGGGCCCAGCAATAGCCTAAGAGGTGTGACAGTACCCAAGGAGTTGAGGGATGGGGGTGGGGGGTGGCATAGGGGGCCGGAGGAGGCCTTGAAGCTCGCAGGTCCATAGGGAACCACTGAGAATTGTCTGTAGAAGTCACAGACCTCAGGGACTCACCCTGGAACTAGTGAGATTCTGCGAGGGTTCATTGAGGACAATGAGTGGAAAGTGGATGATCAAACAGGCTCCAGGGCTGCAGGGCTCACTCCTGTAACTCCAGCTACCCAAGAAGCTGAGGTCTGAAGATGGCAGTTCAACACCAGTGCCTGGACAGTAAAGTCCATAAAACTCTTATCTACAACTAGCTACCAAAAAGCTGGAAGTAGAGCTATGGCTCAAGTGGCAAACTGCCAGCCTTGGGCGATAAAAGCTAAGGGTGCCCAGGATATAGCATGGAGAGGTGTAGGGGCCAGATATCAGGGGGCAATAGCCCTAGAGCTGGCCAGCCCAGATGACCTCAAGGAGACATTGCTCAGGATAAGGAGATGATCCATCCCTGGTGGGGTGGAGAAACAGCAGGGGTGGACTTGGAGGGGAAGTTGGGGGAGATCCCAACTCAGTCTCTGGGGCAGAGAAAAGTAGCCAGGGGAGCTGAATTCACTCTTGCTGACTCTTTTACGTTGTGGTCCCCTGGAGCATGAAATTACAAGATTTACAGGGGAAAAAATGACAGGGCCTTGCAGTCTCATTCCTCCCTGTGACAGGCCTTCCACTCCAGGTTCCCCCCCCCGCCCCCAAGCAGGTCCCTTCCCCCTCCTCCCACCATGCCTAGGGTCCCCCTCCTTTAGACCAGATAGGAGAGAAACCAGGTAAGACTCCTGGCCTAGTGGAAGCTATCTATGCCTTCCCAGCCCCAGGAGCTGAGGTGCTATGGCAGAAGACTAGAGGGCCCATTAAAGTGATGTACAAGGGAACGTCCACCTCTGCTGGTGGTGAGGGCTGAGCGGGCCTCCTGGAGGACTGGGCTCTCAGCGTTCTGAAGAGCCAGGTCCAAGTGGAGAAGTAAGGAGAAGGGTGTTACTGCAGTGACAGCAGGCCAGAGTTCAAATCCCAGACTCTGGGATTTGAAACTATCCCCAGGGCAGGCAGAAAGCTGAGCTGCTCCTGGGCTGCACTAGGAAAAGGCTGGAGAGGCCTACAGAGGCCTCTGGAAATGGGGGATCTTGACCTCCAGGCCTTTTCCTCCCTTCATTCTTTGCTTCATTCACTTACCATCAGCTCAGCACCTGCAAGCCAGCACCTGGAACTCGGAAGCTGACCTCGGATACCAGTGTCCTGACATATAATGTGCTTAAGCTTGACCTAGAACCAGTGTGAGACCCAGAACCATCTGAAGCCTAAAGATCATCTTGGTGTGCCAACTGATGGGAGCTTGGGCTCTGAATGCCTTTGCTCAGATGGCCTGGGCATGCCACCCACTGCTGGGGTGTTACAGATGCCGCTTCATGCCCCACTCCCTGCCTGCCACCAGCCTTGCCACCCATTCCCAGCCTGGGAAAACTTGCAGAAACAGAAGGAAAGCTTACGCCAGGCACCAGTGGCTCATGCCTGTGATCCTAGCTACTCAGGAGCTGAGATCTGAGGATCGCAGTTCAAAGCTAGCCTGGGCAAGGAAAGTCTGTGAGGCTCTTATCTCCAATAAACCACTACAAAACTGGAAGTGGCACTATGGCTCAAGTGGTAGAGGGCTAGCCTTGAGCTGAAGAGCTCAGGAACAGCACCCAGGCCCAAAGTTCAAGCCCCAGGATCAAAAAACAACAACAACAGCAACAATAACAGAGGGAAAGCTGGGGAGTGGGGGAGGTGAAGAGAGACAAACACAGATTAGAAACCTGGCAGCCATTGGTCCTTAAGCCTCCTTTTCTTTCTCCATGTCTTGGATTGAAAACCATGTCCAGTGCTGTGGTTTGGAGGACAACGCCTAGTTTTCCTTGGGGTGGTGGGGGGTGGGGAGGAGATATAGTACTGCTTGAAGCATGGGTCATCCTGGCTCCCCTTGACACTGGGTGACCTTGGGTAAGACAGATCAGCCTGCTAAACCTGAGGGGGGGGGGTTATGTGTGTGAACACACGCACGTGCACAGGCGCATGTCAATACTAAGGCTTGAACTCAGGGCTTCTGCACTTTATCACTTAGGGATGATACTTTACCATTTGAGCCACAGTTCTACTTCTGGCTTTTTGCTGGTCTATCAGAGATTAGAGTCTCATAGACTGTTCTGCCTGGCCTGGCTTTGAATTACAATCCTCAGTTTGCATTGAGTAGCTAGGATTATAGGCATGAAAGCCAGCACTGGGTTTGAGCCTCAGATTTTCCCTTTGTAATGCTGGAGCAAGTTCACACTTCCTTCACAGGAAATCTGTGCAAGGGACAACATATGCCACATGGAGCCCTTACACACAGCACCCAGCAGGTCCTGGACCCAAGAAACTATTTTAACTGTCATTAATCTATCACCATCCAGAAGACTCTGCAAACAAAACCCTTTTCTAGCCCATACTTCTCAGTCTCCTTAATGAAGCTGAATTCCCTTCCCCCAACCCCATTCAGAAGTCATGAGCAGGATCTCCACAATTAGGAACAAATGGCTTATGACGGATGGCATCCAGTACCCAGTAAGCAGCTAGGACACAGGGATGGAGGGAAGCAGAGCTACAGCCATGTGAGATGGGGGCCCCTATGAAAAGAAAACCAAATCTTGAGATAGGGGGGGGGGACAGGGTGGTCAATCACCTACTGGATGAGACCACACCCCACATTTCTGCTGGAGGAGGGTTCAGGGCTGTGGTCGTTAACAAAGCGTGGTGCCAGGCTGTTTCTCTGAATTGGGGAATGAGGCAGCCAAAACAAACCACACCCCAGTTTTTTTGTTGGGAATTTTGACAAAAGTAGGATTCAGCTTCATCCACATTGTCCTGAGAATTAATTGTCACTGGGTTTAACCAGGAGGATTAGAAGGAGTTCTGCCTCCCTCACCCATCTCAAACCTAGAAGTACTCCCAGGAGAGCCTGTCACTTTACTCCAGGGCCCAGGGTAATTTACTAAGTCACTGGCCATTAAATAATCTAAGGAGTGGCCAGGGAGGACCACTTACTCGCCCTGCCCTCCCATTGAGAGGCTTCCCTGACTGGGTAGCCATAAACACTAAGCAAAGACTCAGGAAACCTGGATTCTGTGTAAGTATTATGCAGAGGATAGGCCACCTAGGATGTGTAGCCAGGAAAGGCCTCTCTGAGGAGACATTTTATAGCAAGAAAAGCCTTTTTTTCCTAAGGGGTACAATTTAAGGTAGAAGAGATGGATGGTACCAAGGCCCCAAGGTGGGAAAAACTAAAGAAAGAGGTCGTAATAAACTAAAAGGACCTGCCAAGCGAGGCAACACACACCTGTAACCCAGGCCTCTGTCGCAGACACAGGTGAATGGGGAGTTTGAAGCCATCCTGGACTATAGCAAGAATCTATTCAAAAAAAAAACGGCTGGGAAGGTGGCTCAGTGGTAGAGTGATTGCCTTGCATGCCTGATGCCCTGGGTTCAATTCCTCAGCACCACATAAACAGAAAAGGCTGAAAGTGGCACTGTGGCTCAAGTGGTAGAGCACTAACGTAGAGCTGAAGGACAGGTCCAGACCCAGAGTTCAGGGCCCATGACCGACAGGGAAAAAGATAAAAAATAAAACACACACACACACACAAGATAAATGGCTAGTGGCTGAAGATAAAAAATAAAACACACACACACACACACACACACACACACACACACACACACGAGATAAATGGCTAGTGGCTGATGGCTCACAGGTGTAATCCTGACTACTCAAGTGGCTGAGATCTGATGATCAAAATTCAAGGTGAACCCAGGCAGGAAAGTCCATGAAACTCATATCTCCAATTAATCACCAGTAAACTGGAAGGAAGTGTTGGGGGGGGGGAGGATGGGAAGGGAAGGGGAAACAAAGGAGGAGGCTACAATGCTTGATAAGAAATGTACTCATTATTTTGCCCATGTAATTGTAACCCCTCTGTACAGTATTTTCACAATAAAAAATAAATAAAAATTAAAAAAAAAGAAAAAAAAAGAAAACTGGAAGTGGCACTGTGGCTCAAAGTGGTAGAGCACTGGCCTTGAAAAAAGGAGCTCAGGGACAGCACCCAGGCCCTGAGTTCAAACCCCCAACTGGAAAAAAAAAAAAGACAAATTATAAAGATTAGTGTAGTAAAACAAAGTAGCCCAAGAGGTATGCAGATGTTACATCAAATAGGAACATAGATAGACAGATAGATGGATACATAGAGGACTTCGAATAGAAAGTGATTAATTAATCTTTAATGGTAGATACCTAATTCCCTGCTACAAAACAGCAGGTGTCTAATAAATATTCCTTGACTTCAACTAAACACCCATCCCTCAAAATTGAACTCCTCAGGGAGCAGAGGGTGGGAGGGGGAAGGGAAATCAGGGAGATGGGACCAGAGGTCAGGTCAGTGACCAGCACCATGGAGGGCACTGACCTAGAGAAACACAAGTTCTTGACCAGCTAGACTTTGTCTTCTAGCAAAAGGACATTAAGAAAAAGAAGGAAGGAAGGAAGGAAGGAAGGAAGGAAGGAAGGAAGGAAGGAAGGAAGGAAGGAAGGAAGGAAGGAAGGAAGGAAACTACATGAGACTAAAGGAGGGTGGGGTAGAGGTAGAGGAGACCATAAAACTCAGAAGTGATTCCACGTTCCCACCCCCACCCCCCCAGCCTTGGATTTTTTTTTTAAAGAAGCTTTTTGGAAAAGGCAGTAAATTTTTTTTACACCAACCTCATAAAAATGACATCGGCACATTCTCAAATTAGAACTATTAAAATGAAAACCAGCGACGCACAGCAGACAGACAGTCCCGCGTGGGTAGGAGATACATCCTGTGTGCACAGTGGCGGTCTCTGGAC